GATCAACACCATCATGCATCTACCGCTGAGGTTAAAGCCCAACGCCCGGTATTTTAACTATTTGATCTTCACAGATCAGGCAAGGACTTGAAATCATCTCACGTGCAACAGTCTTTGCATAACACCCCATTATATCCATGCCACAAAAACGGGAAACTTGGTAGTTACCAATAAATAAGTTGGGGGTCAAAGGGACTAAAGCCTTAGACTGCTCTTTATCATAAGATATCCTCAGACAAACCTCCCCATTCTTCATTTTGGCTCTATAAAATTAAGGAGCAGAGAAAAACTGGTAAGTGCCTGACTTCACAAAGAAAATGCACTCTATATTTCCTTGGTCATTAGATCTATGTTTATAAATCAACTGTACCACTCCCCCAAGTCCTCCCCCTCAAAAAACTAGCTTAAAATAGGCACTTAATTGGTGGTGGTGGGGAAATGTTCCAAGTACTTCAAAGAATGTCAATTTAGGAATCTCAGCATGTCGCACTTTAGTAATTTAAGAATCAAGTTAAGTACCAGTGGCATGTTAAGAAAACCTGTGTTAAATTCCAACAAACATTAAAAATTGGATAATGGACCAATGTTTCTGGGCTTTATCCCCAAATTTAATTACGTAGTCACAGAACCAAATACCAAAAAGAATACAGAATTCACTCTAGAAATGTCAAAACTGAACCACTGTTTACCAAGTAACCAAGTAAAATAAAAAAAGGTATCTTTATTATTTAATCACAAAGTCTGATGTTTTAGCAATTATTATTCAAATACACTTATGTTCTCATTACTGACTATAATATGTTAATAGAAAATCTACTTTATCCACTGACTGTGTCCGTTTGCCTATAAAATGAAGGACTACCTCAACAAACCAGAAGACATTTATACAAACTGAGTAAAAGGGAAATTTAAAAGAAATTTTTCTGAAGAAAATAAACATTCTTAATGACAGAAATGTGTATTTCACCAATTTTAAAAGGGCTAAAATCAAAATCATTTTGCGATTTCCATGTATCATTAAGCCAACAGATATTTTCATTATAAATTCAAAGGCATCATCAGTGTTTAGAAATAATCAAGTAAAAGAGCTGATACCAAAGAGAAAAATCACAATACAAAGAAAACTAGATTAAAATAAATTAATTAGGACTTCTACAAATTTAAGGCTGCATTTAGGTAAGTGTCTTTATAGCTATATTTATAATTTTGGAAGCAAAATCATATTCATGACAGGCTAAGTGAATACTATATCCCAAATTATAATACCAAAAAAGCTACTATAAATCCAGTTTTGATAAATCCAACAAGAAATGATTTTAAAATATTTGTATCTATACATCCCATCTTGAAAATACCAACTATTGATAGTCTGGACAATGAAAATTTTCAGTATTAAGAGGTAAAAAATGGCATCTGTCTTAGGACATCTACTCTGATCGATACAGAAAAACCTCCAGAGTGATGAATCTCTATTACCGAGAAACACAGAACTTGGTACCAAAAACAGAAGGTTTAAGTTACACATACCAAGACAACACACAAATAGGGTGGGGAGAGACACGGATAGTGCTCAGTGGTCAAGATTTTACGTAGCTCTGAAGCCTAGCAGATCTGGGTTTGGAATGCTAGGACCAGTCACTGGAATCTCACTGAGCCTCTACTTCTTCATTTGTTAAAAAGGTACTCTTGATCCTTCTCAGGGCATCCTGAGGATTAGCACAGGATGCTTCCCATCTAAGTGCTCAATAAGCATTAGCTATCATCATAGTTCTTTTTTGTTGTCATGGTGTCCAGACATGTTCTCATTACTGACTATATAGAATATGCTAACAGAAAACCTACTTTATCAACTGACTGACTGCCCTGTTTGCCTATAAAATGAAGGACTACCTAAACAAACCACAAGATGTTTATATAAATTGGGTAAAAGGGAAACTTTAAAGAAATTTAGCAGTTTTTTCTCATCTTATTCCACCACCTATTTTATGAACATAATATTTAAATACTCTCCCAAAGATGTAAACATGTATCATGTATCAACATATAAATGAATCTATTTTAGGAAACAAGCATCTTGTCATCCCTGGATTTGTGACAATATGTTGGCGGATAACCTGAATGAATAACAGGTTAACCTGAACAGAATCATCTGAAGCCTTACTGCCCCAAAGAGACTTTAGCCTTAACCTGCCATGTATTATAATTCACTCTAAATTCAGAATGGACCAGCTGTGTTCTGCCTCCTCAAGACCTGAATGGCTAAATTAAGAAAATGGTTCACTCAGACCACTGAATAGAAAATGTCTTAATGTACTACCACTTTGGTTTATGTACAAAACAATGTTAAGGTAGTCACAGATGAGAAATAGGGCCAAAGCTCTCTTCTAAAGATAAGAAACTGTAGTTAACAGTAGTCAACTTTTTTTTTTTTTTAAACTAGGGTGAGACAGGGAAAGAAAAATCTTAACGTGGACCACAGACATCCCATGCTTCTCTCCACTCCTATTTTCTCCTAAAGATACAAAAATACTACTTCAAAAAGGGAGATATTACTTATTATTAAGATACTTCAATAGGGGAGATACACACACATACTCACAAATATGGACTTGGAATGACATTTTTATCCCCAATACAAGCCATGAAGTAAACTTTACTTATTTGTCATATTATAAAGTCTATAGCAATTGCTCAGTAGAGTTTGAAAAACAATTCAGACACAGGAAAGATCAGTGCCCTAAACACTACTCTCCAGGAAAAAATATATTAAAAGGTGAACTTCAAGAACTTTAAAAATGTTTTAAGACAGATATAATTAATCAATCAGGAAATGGTGAAGAACTTGGAAGAAATACCAGGTTCTGACAGAGCAGAATATAGTTCCATAATAATGAAATATAAAAGGGAACAAGGGAAGAGACAAATATGAAAAATTCCCAGTTCCTGATTCTGGTTTGACCTTATTTTTAGAAGAGTCTGATTAGTAAACAGCAAAATAAGGAGGTCTTAACTTTAAAACCAATTTTACAATAGGAGAATATGAGCTTGTGGTCACACTAACAGATGTTAAAAAAAAAAAAACAAAACTCACCAATGACGTATTTGTAGTCAATAAAGAACCGTGGCAAACTACACACATGGAAAAGGGGCTGTGCTCATTTCACTATGGACAGTGGCTAGCATCAGGGCTGCCAACAAAAGCTCCCACTTTTGGGGCGCCTGGGCGGCTCGGTTGCTTGGGCGTCTGCCTTTGGCTCGGGTCATAATCCTGGAGTCCTGGGATGGAGTCCTGCGTCGGGCTCCCTGCTCAGCGGGGAGTCTGCTTCTCCCTCTGGCCCTCCCCCCTCTCGTGCTCTCTCCCTCTCACTCTCTCCCTCTCAAATAAATGGGTAAAATATTAAAAAAAAGATCCCACTTTTGCAGGCATCTTAACCACTGTTCGGTTAACTCAAGATCATTACATGTACAAGGTATTGTCTCCTATTTAATATATGTATGTTCTGGATGATGTCATCCCAATCTGGAGCAATCCTCACAATTGACCCAGTCAGTGACTAATGCAGAGCCATTACCGATGCCCTCCCTCCCATAGAGGCCCACAGCTAAGAGAGAGAGATTTATTCTTCTTAGTTCACATTTCTGTTACAACCGAAATGCTAAAAAATTGGATTTAACGCCTCCTTTAATAACACAACTTAATAAAAACACACTACAGGGGCGCCTGGGTGGCTCAGATGGTTAGGCATCTGCCTTCGGCTCAGGGTCATGATCCCAGGGTCCTGGGATCGAGTCCTGCATCGGGCTCCCTGCTCAGTGGGGAGTCTGCTTCTCCCTCTCCTTCTGCCCCCTCCCCTAACTTGTGCTCTCTCTGTTTCTCTCTCTCTCAAATGAATAAATAAAATCTTAAAAAAAAAACACACACACTACATATTTTATATTGACTAGCTTCTCCTTGTGCTATAGACTTTCTAATTGATTAAAACCACAATTATCACTAAAGCAACTTGGTATCTGAATTAAGGTATCCTTAAGTATTTTGAAAAAGGTGGCCTTATCTATGAAATTTTAAACTTCAGAAATTGGAGGTCTAGAAATAACAAATATACAATTAACCCAAGACAACTGTGGAAATTGGAAATGGAAGGGGGTTTATCAATGGTTCTTGTGATATCAAGGCAAAATAAGAATATAGTCATTTGACAGAATATGGTTTGTTATTTAAAAAGAGCAAAGAGGGGCACCTGGGTGGCTCAGTTGATTAAGCATCCAACTCTTGGTTTTGGCTCAGGTCACAACCGCAGGGTCATGAGATTGAGCCCTGAATTAGGTTCCCCGCTCAGTGCGGAGTCCGCTTGAGAGATTCTTGCTCTCCTTCTGCCTCTGCCCCTCCCCCACTTGTGCTCTTGCTCTCTTTCTCTCAGATAAATAGATAAATAAAATCTTTAAAAAGAGCAAAGAAAAGGCCAAATACTTTTTAGTTAGTTTTGCTAACACAAAACTAGAGAGTTCTATAAAGGGTGTAATTATAACACTATCATTTGCTTGGCTACGTTTGCACTTAATAGACATGAGGTGAAAATATGAACCAATCTGGGATGAAAATGACATAGTCTCACAATCAGTTGATTATCCATCCACACTAATGCGAAAAGGGGTTACCTGCAGTAATCAGAACAATGAATGGAGAGTTCTCAAATTACTGTTGGACAAATCTTTTCCCTTCTTGGTCTGTCCTCTAAACATTTAGACTCTAGTGTTTTGGGTTCCAAAAATGGGCCATCAATATGACAGACCATCTCCAAAGCAAACAATCCATCCACAGATAACTAAGTTGATGTGACTGACACATACTCCAATCAATATACTGCTCATGGACACTACATGCCAAGCATGCTTCAGAGTAATTTCTGAAACTTTAAGAATGAGGGAACATAACTGAGACTTCCCTAGCAATAGCAAAACATGCTAACGTCTAGTAAAGAGAACTCCAATTAGCTTACCTCCTGCAGTAGATCAGCCTGCTCAATTGCTTTAAGGACATTTTTCTTGGATGTTTCCTGAACTTCCCCTCCCAAAAGAAACTCATCCAAAATAAAATAAGCCTTCTCAAAATTAAAGATGATATCAAGTTCACACACCTGAAAAGCAAGAAAAACAATGTTAAAACTGAAGAAAGCAAAAGATACTTACCCACCATCAGGTAGTGAATAAAATCTGATCAGAGTGAATCGATCTTAATTCTTTCTAAAAATGACAATCTTGCTAATAACTAAGCATCACTGATTTAGTCAGCTTAATTTTCAAATCTCAAGTACTTGGAAACACAAGGCCTACAAACTAAGTAAGACCTGATTCTGGAAGCTCCCACCATGGGCAACTTAATAATTCTCTACTCATCTCTACTCATAAACAATGATCTTTTTAAAAACATATTTCCTCAATAATGTGATTGTAACTGCTTACCAAATCTAAATTCTATACTAAGCACTTCCAGAATATTAATTTTTGCAGTTGAACTCCTTTCTGTTTCACTATTTTAAACCTCATTCTCACAATCATCATTAAATGAGCAGGGCCATCAGGTCAAGCATTCCAGCAGTGAACTGACTGGGCCTGCTGGCAAGAGATAGTCAGCCCTTCCCTCCCCTGCAGTTACTTTCAAACAGAATCCCCAAGACAATCAAATAATAAACTTGTTACAGAAAAGATTTTAAAAAAATACTATGGCACTCAATTTCCTAAAACAAAATAATACTCACACTGCCAAAATACTTGTCAAGTAATTCCACATAACGATGAATTATTTCCAGGGTAATTAGCTCATTGTCCTGATCCTCAATAGCACAGCAAAAATACAGACTAGCGTATCTGTAACAAAGCAAATGTGGAAAAAATTTTACTCTATAATCTAAATATGTTTTCATATCCTATTGTGAAAGATCCCATACTTACACAGTTTATTTCTCCTTTTACAATAGTATAGATTATTTTCCTCCTACACTATAAAAGGAATGAATGTATGTAGAGAAAGTTTGAAAAGTACAGGCAAGCAAAAAGCCAAAAAACCCAAAAAACAATCACTCAATCATACCATCTAGAAACGTAGAAAGAGTAACTCATTTTGGTCTTTTTCTTTCAGGCTGCCTTCTATGAATATTCTAAAACATAGCTGGACCCAGTTATGAAATACAATGAATGAAATATAATGGTCCTAAATTGTATGAAATATAATCTTATGTTTACCTAATTAAAACAAAAGGCACTGTGTGATTAATTCAAACTACAAATAAACAGGGAAGAAGATAAACTCTCCGACTGAAGGACTTATTGAAGATATTGTCAATGTGAAGGCAATGCCTGAAATGTTTTGCTGAAGTGTAATATATACAACAGAGAAGAACACAAGAAAACTTGAGGAGTTCTCAAAGTGCCCATCCGTGTACCAGCACCCTGATCAAGAAACAGATTATGGAACTCCTGAATCCCCGCTCCTAACCCATGAGGTCACAACCTGCCACCAAGGGTAACTACTATCTTGACTCCTAACGGCACAGAACTGTTTTTAAGAAGGTTTCTAGGACTGTGGAATCAACTCCAAGAAAAGAACAGTTCTAAGTTATTACAGAAGTCAGAGAAAGAACAGGGGAAACGGAGACCTGTTATCAAATTTTCCAAGTTCTACCTGTTAAATGGAAGTTTAGGTTATCTACCTCTTGAATATTAAGATTGGAAAACTCATATTCTCTTCTAAATTAGGATTCTAGCACATGGGACTACATTATACTTGACCAAGGAAGTCAAACTTAACATACAACCTTGAGGCATAGCAAACAATGACCAAGTCTTTTGAGGAGGATTAAAAGACCATTTTCAAATGGTTTAAGTGCATTAAAAGCTTTTGGAAAAACAAACAAACAAACAGAAAACCTAAGACATTCTAAACAAGTCTCAGTCTCGACTATAATTTTCACTGAGGAGCATTTAAGTGATTTTTAGAAAACACAATGAGCAATTACTACTTAAAGCATTAATGGAAAATAATACACACACACAATCTCAGTTTTGGAATTCAATGAATTCCTGCTTTTCAGTATGAGAATAACTAATATTTACAGAATGCTCTATTATCAAATTGATCAAATAAAGATCAATTATTTGATCTTTCCAACAGCAAGCACCATCATTCTTGATGGTGGGGGGGGAAGGAAAAAAAAAAAAAACAAGGCCCAGGAGTACAGGGTCTGCCAAGTGGTTGCTCTGGGACAAGAAATCTGATCTTCAGACCTTTTCCCTCCCACTCCACCTTGGGGAGTCCCTCTTCATACACAGCTTGACTTTTTTGCCATGTCCATTCTACCTGACTTATACGTTAAGTTATTTAAAATGGTAGGTCTCCTGCAGTCTTAGAGAGGCGGCTTTCGAATGTGTTCACTTATTAGCATGAAGGACGTAAGAGGGCACCACCTCCAACTTTAACAAAGTGCTTCCTCTTTCCTAACCTATGGTTTTGTGTATCTGTTTAAAAAGGCAAGTTGGGGGGCGCACCTGGGTGGCTCAGTTAAGCGTCCAACTTTTGATTCTGGCTCAGGTCATGATCTCAGGGTCTGGAGATTGAGCCCTGTGTCGGGCTCTGCGCTGAGCATGGAGTCTGCTTGGGATTCTCTCTATCACTCCCTGTCATCCCCCATCCTAGCCCTGCTCACGTGTGCTCACTCTCTCTCTAAAAAAATAGAATTAGGGATGCCTGCGTGGCTCAGTCGGTTAAGTGTCTGCCTTCGGCTCAGGTCATGATCCCGGGGTCCTGGGATCGAGTCCTACAGACTCCCGCATTGGGCTCCTTGTTCAGTGAGGAGCCTGCTTCTCCCTCTGCCTGCAGCTCCCCCTGCTTGTGTGCGTTCTCTCTCTCTCTGACAGATATAATCTTTAAAATAAAATAAAATAATTTAAAAATTAAAATTAAAAAAAAAAGCAATTCCAACTCTCCATCCTCCCTCATCCATGCTCACAAAATAGTTTTGAATTTGGGGAAATTGATACAAATGACATGTTACAAGTCCCCAAATCAAGAAAACTAAATATTAAAGGAACTGACATTAAAAATGGTAGATAAAAAACAGACATGACTAGCTGACATGAACAGAGTGCTATTTAAATAATCCCATTAGAAGGAATTTATTAATAGTTTTGGGTAAAATTCCTTTACTCTTAATGTCAACATTTCTACAATGGTACTGCTAAGCAATCTAATGCTTACACCATCCTCACTCCTTATCCACAGTACTGCCTCTTGACTTACAAATAAATAGCACTTAGTCAATTGTCCTTAATTGTGTGAATCATTTAGAAATATTAATTCAAATATCACCAGGACTGGGGCGCCTGGGTGGCTCAGTCGGTGAAGCGTCTGCCTTCTGCTCAGGTCATGATCCCAGTGTCCTGGGATCAAGCCCCGCATCAGGCTCCCTGCTCAAGGGGAAGCCTGCTTCTCCCTCTCCCTCTGTCTCTTCTCACAGCGTGTGTGCACTCTCTCTCAAATAAAATCTTAAAAAAAATAAAAAAATAAAAAATAAATATCACCAGGAATGATGTGTCATCCAAGCCATCAAGCAGTTTTTTTTAAAATCCTGCAATACAGGGGTACCTGGGTGTCTTAGTTGGTTAAGCATCTGCCTTTGGCTCAGGTCAAGATCCTGGGGTCCTGGGATAGAGTCCCACATCGGGCTCCCTGCTCAGCGGGGAACCTGCTTCTCCCTCTCCCTCTGCTGCTCCCCCTGCTTGTTCTCTCTCTCAAAATCTTTAAAAAAACAAAACAAAACAAAAAAAACCTTGCAATACAAAATAAATAAATAAGTAAATAAATATAAAAATCCTGCAACACTACCTAAATGTTTGCTTTCACTCAGAATGGAAAAAGAGCCATCAATTAAACAAATTCTTTGTTGTAGGTGATTATCTAGTTATCAGGATTCTAAGGCACCTCTCTACAGAAAGCTTATGGAAGAAACAGAATAGTTAACAGCTAGTATTCACTGAGGCCTCACTCTTGAGTGAGACACCAAATGTTTGCTAAGGCTTTTGCATATTTTACCATTTTAATCCTCACAACAATTCTTCCAGAAAGATACTGTCATTAACTTGCATTTATAGGGGACCCAGGCTTAACTGAGTAACCTCCCCAGGAATAGTAATTTGACTCCAAAGCCCAAGTTTCATATTAAAAACTATAGCCAGGAACCGTATTAAATAATCCTGCACCTGGCAAAAATTAAAACTGAATAAGCAATATTTTAAGAGCTTTGAAGAGGGAGAGAAAAACTGTTATACTGATTTAGTAAAAGATTACCAAGAGAACCTGAAGTGTACTCCCTATTTTTAGAACCAAACGCTTTTTAAAAATTCAATTATGAGCTCATTTTGTTCTCTTAGTACATATTTGTAAGTCTAAATCTGAAGTAAAATTAATAATAGACTAGTAAGAAGAAAGGTATGTTTGGTTATTTTTAGCAGGGTGGATTAAGGCTTACTCTAATTACTGGCACTCAGAACATCTGAAAGTGCCTATTCTTCTATTCAAAACACATGACTTCTCCGCAGTCAGCTAAGTGTCAGCTGACTGGGCGTGAATGTAACTAAACTAGTCTCAATACCCATTGGTATGGCATTAAAAATTCTTTTGTTAGTAAAGAAAATACAGTACTGTGGCAAATTCTCAAACTAGTAATTTGGAGACATATGTATGTTTAAATTCACTGTAAAACTTTAATCTAGTGCCTCTTCCATAACATGCTGCATAAAACAGGAATCAAAAAAGCATAGTGAGATCTTTAAGGGATCTTCAAGAGCATTTAGTTCAGAGATGAGGAGACACACACAAAATGCCTTGTTCAAAGTCACGAAACTAGCTAAAGGTTCAAACCAAACAGAACTCAAGTCCCCAGATTTTCAGCCTCTTTTTTCAGCTATAGTCTCCTTATGGACCCCCCCTCCCCAAGAGGAGGAACTATTATGCGAAATGCTCAGCAAACAGAATGTGGCTGAGACAAATGGAAGAAGGAAGGCCTAAAGATCACTTGCTGACAGGAACAGCGACAGTGCTGGTTCAAAATTTCTCAGAAGCTAAGTGAGAATTCTTTTGCTTAAAAGGTCTTCTCTTCCAGCTGGACTGGGGGGGGAAAATCACCTGTTTATATCAACAAAGAATACGTTCTTAAATACGATATATAAGGTTTTCAGTATGAAATGGGGGCAGATTCATAGAAAAACTGATTAAAAATTCTAACTTCTGTATGTGAATTTTATCTCAATAAAGCTGTTTTTTTTTTTAAGTACACCTTTTATTTATAGGAGCTTGATACAAGTATCAGAGTCAGGTTAGATTACCCTCTATAGCCTTTAAAAGAAAAAGTGGTGGCCCAAGATGGGTGGGCTGAATACTGTGTGCGGGAACACAACGAGCGCCTCCTTTCCTTCCGTTTTCACAGGCCATTGCCTTCAGCTGCAGGAATCTCAATTCCTGGGATTGATTCCCTTGCTGGTATTTTCCTCCTCCACACGGGGGACTCCTTCCCCTATCTAGAAATAAGCTTAAGTCTCTCACACCTTTTTTAAAACTCTGTCCCTTACTCCTATGTCTGTGGGGGTGGTTACCACCTCTTCGCATCTGAAGAAGCTCCCAAAATAGTCTACATTTGCTGTTTAAAAGTCTCCACCTCTTCACGCTTCGCCCCATTTCTTCGAGAGTTTCTACTATTTCACTGAAAATGTTCCGACAAATGGCATTTTATGAACTCTCACTGTAAAACCTAATAGATTCTTTCTTCACTTTAATTGTTTTCGCAACATTTGGCACTGGTGACTTAATTTTCAAAACTCTCTCCCCCCCTCCTGATGTTACTGACCCTATACTTAGCCTCTCCCCCTTTGCCTGCCCCTTGAATGTTGGTGATCTACCACTTTATGCCTTATTTCCGCCCTGACTTCCAAGCCCACCCTGAGAAAACCAGGCATCTCAAAGTCACCATGTCTGCTACCTCACGTTTACCGTCAGCTGAACCAGAAATGTGCAATCACTGCTCTCCCGGCCTCTAGCAGCGACCGAGCCTAAAACTTACCTGTAGTAACAGTTCACTCCACCTGCTGGGGCCCACAGCAGAGGTCTTCCTTCAGGGCCTCACTATAATGCAGTCTCCTAAGAGATCTCTCAGGCGCCAGCCTCAGCCCTCCCCCTTCCCATTCTCCAATTACAAGGATCCTTTCAGAAATGCATATCTGCTTTTTTCATCCCCATTTAAAACCTTTGCCTCCATGCTTCAGATTGGAGTTCTAGCCCCCCTGTCAGTCACTAACTAGAATATGACCTTGGACAAGTCACTTCTCCCAAATTCTTCCTTTTATAAAATTGAAATTTAATCAACAGCAGTGGTTCTAAAGCTCATGAACCATCTCTATGCAGAGGGTACAAGCCAAGTGAGCACAGGTATGAGATCCCGGTCCTGTTTTCATGAGAGCACCTCCACTTCCACTTGTTTCACTGAAGGTTCTAACCTTGGGGCAAAAAGCTTTATAAAAACAATCACCTGACTAGATTATTCCAAGACCTCTCCCAGCTCTAAAATGCTATGAGTTTTCTCAACAAGTACTAAACCAAAATCACCCAAAGATGACTAAATTTATTCTTTTGGGAAGAGGAGTTCTATGGTATTTAAAACATTCTCTCTGTCCTATAATCTCCTCCATCACCTCCTCTGCCATCTTCACCCCCCCCCACACACAAAAACCCATCCACACCTCGAGGGGAATAAAGGAAACAGATAAAACCCAGACTTCTCTTCAACCCTCCTTGCAGCCTTTACTGTTAGTTCCCTGCACTTCCCCTATAGAAGACAATTTTTTATATGCAGAAACACTCTTCTTAAATACAGTAAATTATTTGTAAGGGAGGGAAATGGAGAAGAAACAAAGTAATTATATTTCTTTTAACCCTTGATTAGCCCAATCTTGAGAAATGTTATTTTAGGGTATTAAAAGACTTTCAGATAGGCGCCTGGGTGGCTCAGTTGGTTAAGCGACTGCCTTCGGCTCAGGTCATGATCCTGGAGTCCCTGGATCGAGTCCCGCATCGGGCTCCCTGCTCGGCAGGGAGTCTGCTTCTCCCTCTGACCCTCCCCCCTCTCATGTGCTCTCTCTCATTCTCTCTCTCTCAAATAAATAAATAAAATCTTTAAAAAAAAAAAGACTTTCAGATATTAATAAAGACATACATTTTTTTAAAGTTTAGTGTTCAAAGTCAGTATGTGAGTCATTTTGCAACATCAAAAATTTAAAAATCTATTCTTCGCAAAATTATCTATCAGATCTAATTATACCTCCATGACAGCAACAAATGTACTTCAAATTAATAAATACTACTAACAAAGAGATTTTATATATATAAAGTTTCAAAACCTCTATACGACTGAAATGGTCTCTGCATCCAAGGTGTTCATAAGATTCTAAAAGTCAGAAAAAAGGCATGGCAATTATCAGTCATTATAGATTTTCAAGAAAGGTTTGTCTAAATTCAGAGAATTACTCACAACATTTAAAATATGACCCCATTTTCACCTGCAAAGAAATAAATTCACTGAATTTTTCTAAAAAGATTATTAAGTAGGAATAATCATTTATGCCTTTAATTACATAATTAGTTTTAAATCGACTTTCCTGATTTTATTTTTTTTGACTGGGTAATCAATAAAAACAGCAGTTATTTTAAAGACACAAAGCTTTAACTTAAATCTTTTTCACTTAAATCTTTATTAATCATTATTTATAAATGTCATTTCTCAAAAGTCTGCCATTACCACATTATAAATGACGGAACATTTGATCCTATTTCACCTTTCTGATAAATGAAAATTATACCTTTTGTAAACAATCTTCAGATCTCGCCACTCAAGAAAGCTGCACATTTTAGGTTTCCGTGCTAAAACGGTTTGAACAAGTTCTCTTGTAATCTTTTTCTTCTCTTTGTCTGATAGTGGGACATACCATTTCTGCAGTCGAAGCTTTCCCTGACGACTAAAAAGCAACATAAACTGCATCTGTTAAGATAAATAGAACCAAGATTACATGCAACACTTTGATTCAGTAAAGATTAAGATGACATGATTCATAGAGAAGCTTTGGGGGCTGGGCCTTTCTTTAACTGACAAATGATTAGCAGCTATCAGTATTTCTATACCAGTTAAAATAGTAGGAAAATTCTTGTAGAAAGACCTTCCTACCAGATGCAGATCTCCCCACCCCACCCCACCCCACCCCGTTCCACGTAAGTTTGGAGAGTAGTGTGTGGCAAAAAAACAAAAACAAAAACAAAAAAAGGTAAAAAGCTGGAGTGAAAATTTTGAGGAAAAAGAAAGATAACTCTTGCAATTTAGGACAACTACTGTCTACATTTCACACTGTGTATGCTTCAAAAGAGAATTGTTGACATCAACTGGTTTAAATACATTTGAAAGAAACAGCAGATCTACAACTATTTTTTATCCTGAGGCTGTTCAGTTGCCGGCTGAATTGTATTCAGACTATTACTCAGAATGCCCTCTTCAGTTTATGCTTTCGTATTTTAAGCAAAACAAAAGATCTAAAATATTCAACAAAAAAACCCATAAATGCACATTTTTCTTAATAAAAGCCTGACTTTTAAGTATCTCTTCTCATCTTCACTTTCTAAAAATTCCAACATAAATATACACAATAAAGTGGGTTAATGTAACAATATGAAAGAGAATATAAACCTTAAAAAGCCAAAATTTAGTCACACACATGCAGACATTACCCAAAATACCTCATTTAAAACAATTTTTTTAAAAAGCATCTACAGATGGAGTGGATGCTGAATTCGAGTGTATTTTACTTAAACTATTTTGTATACATGTATTTGGAACCTCAAATCTGTTGATTAATTTACATGTTTAATTTTAAAGGAAAGCTTCTTGTAATCCAACTAACTGGTCTTCCCAACTGCAAACAGGTAAGCATTGTTTCTACAAAAAAAGGTACAATTCAGACAGGTTTTTTTTTTTTTCCTTGTAACTGCTGTTAAGTTCCTTTAACAGTGTTACTACAAGTAAGATTCCAGCCCGATTCTTAATATGCACCACACCATCTTAAATCTGAATATGGGGTGGGGGAATTTACATAGCCAATTTAGAATAAAATGGGCTCTAAATTTCGCTAAGAAATTGTTGTCGCTTTTTGTATTAATCCAAACGGGCATCAACAATATATTTAGAAATTTATGATGTGGCAATTTAACTTTATTTAAAGTTGGCTTATTACACCTCACTTAAAGCCTTCACTGGCACAAAATAAATGAACGATATTCTTGATGTCAAAGTGCCTCCCATACAAGTCCTGTTAAGACAGCGGCATTCGGAGGGGGACAGCAAGTAAAGCATCAACTGGACGTTGAATGTAAAGCCGTTACCAGAACTTTGAGAATAAAAGACCCCTATTCTAGGACCCTGACGACCTGGAGGAGTGGCGGTTTGCTTTCTAAAAGAGTATGAGCTCTAGGCTGTCTGTATCCCCTCCCTACCACTTTATAGAACGAATAAATAATTCAGTCTTTAAAATAAATTATGTGCTAACATGGGACGATACCCGGTTGCGAAGCACAAGTATTCCTTCCCTCCGGTTAAAAACTAATGCTTTGATTTTGCGGCAAATGACAGGGCACCTCAATTCCTCGAGATTGGTTATTAAAAACAATAGGCTCAGCCGCGGAGCGGGCTCAGGGCCAGCGTTCCTCGGTCCGGCCGTCTCCGACGCCTCCCCACCGCCCCATGGGGTCGCACTCCATCACTGACCGAGCCCGGGCGAGGTGACCGGCTAGGAGCCGGGCAGACAATGGCATTCGCCGCCGCGCAGGGGGCGCCAAGGGTCCTCCGCCGCCACCGCCCCCGGCTGCGGGCCCCTCTCGAAAATGCCCCGCAAAACTTGAGGTGATTCCTGAACCACAGGTGCCGCGGGGCCCCCCGCATCCTCGGGGAGCGGTGCGGAGTGGAGAGGGGCGCGGACGCGGAGAGAAGTGAGTTGCCGGGCGCGGCGACCCACTGGCGGGCCGGGGCGGCCAGGCGCGGGGTGGGGTCGTCGG